TCTCAGACGCCCAGCCTCCAGCACCAGGAGCAAATGAATTTCTATTGCAAGCCACCTAGTTCGTAGTACTTGGTCATGGCAGGCCCAGGGAGCGAGCACAGTTCCCTGCCTGCAAAACAGAACTTATGGTCCCTCCTCTCCCAAGACCTCCGGGGCTTGCATAATTCCCGGCCCGCTCACTCTTTCATTTAGCAAGTATTTTGGGGAGCAACTGCCAATTGCAAAAAGCTGAAGGCAGAGAAGATGCAAGGCCTGGCAGTCTTAGGAGCAAAGGAAGTCACAGGGAAGAGAATAGATAAACTAGCCAGTTGTGAAGCACATGGCCCCTGGAACTGCCTGGGCTTGAATCCCGGCTCATCCGTTCACTAGCTGTTTGGCCTTGAAGCAGTTAATCAACCTTCCTGTGCTTCTCCCCGCAACCCCTTGTCTCTGAGATGGGGTTGAGAGCAGATGTCCCTATTGTTGGGAGGTTTAAATGAGTTAATATTTCTCCACAGTTAAGCACTGTGCCTGATGTGTTAGGTGCTGTGTTCAATGAATGCAAGAAGTGCTTTCCCAGAAGGAAGAATCTCTCTATGGGTGGGGGGGGGGGTTGGAAATCTCCCCAGGAGGCACGATGGCCCAGCTGAGTGTAGAGAGGACACTGGAGTGCATGCACCAGGGAGGAATTATGCAAGACGGTCTAGGTACTGAGGACCTAGCACTATTGGACCTAGGACAGCTCCAATACCCGTTTATAGCACAGGATGGTCAGACCAGGGATGGTCAGACCAGGGATAATCAAACACCTGGCTCAGGGTCATAGTACCAGAAGTGGGACCAAGAAGCTGTTTTCCCAGCCCCCAGTCCAGTGTCTACAGTTTTGTTTTGTTTTTTAAACTATGAAACTGGGGGGCAAGGTGGCAGGAGCAATGCCGCACGTGGAGAGAGCTCTGAGGCCACTGATGCCAGCTCCTTGGTGGCCACTGGGTGTTGGCAGATGATGTCCTTGGGGAAGACCGGACAGGTGTGAGGGCAGCCCAGGCCCCGTGGGGACTCCATGGCCTCCAGGAGGCTCCGCCACCCTCCAGGGAGCCCTGCAGCCCAGAGGTGTGAACAAAGGGCAAACACTTGTGCACGTGTGTGTGCAGAAGGTTCCTTTTCAAAGAAAATGTCTCGGCCACACTCGAAGGCATCTCCAGGGTCCCAGACACCTCAGGTCCTGGTTCACACATCCCAGGAACACAGCCCAGAGGCAGCCAGGAGCCCACGTCCCCTGTGGCCGGCTTGTTACAGGTGGGGAAAAGGAGGCCAGGGGCCCTCCTCGTCCTGCTATCTGCTTTAATTACCTGGAAATGTGTCAATATTGGCACACCGAATGGCCAGTCCTGCGTTTGCTCAACACGACCCAGAGCCTGCTTAGTTTCTCCATCTGTAAGGGGGGGTTGTCTCTGAGGTTCAGCTTCCCGCCGCTCATCAGACAGCGCTGGTCTCTCCTGCTCTCCGTCCACAGAACAGCAGCAATTACAGGGAGAACAAAGCAAACTCATATGCCTGTTTACGTGGGCGGCAGTCCGCTGAGCTGTCAGCCACGCAATCGGGATCCAACCCCAGCGGCCCTACTGCTTAGCTCTGCGGGCCTACGGGCTGGCCTCGGAAGCGCTTGGAGCCTGAGTTTCCTCATCCATAAAATGGGCTTTATTCATAACCTCACCTCACAGGACTGTCGGGAGACCTGGAGGCGGACTGGCTCGGCCGAGGCCCGCGCTGTGCTCTGTGTCCGGCAGGGGGCGCCGCGGGACGTCCGCCTGGTCGCCGCTCCGCTCGGCCGGACTCGGCTCTCTTCGGCCACGCTCGGCTCCACTCGGTTAGACTCGGCCATGTTCGGCCGCCACCGCCAGGCTCGGCCAAAGTCGGCTCTGCCCGATTGTCCTCGGCTGCACTTGGCGGGATTCGGCTATGCTCGGCGAAGTCCGGCCTTGCTGGCTCCTGGCGGGCTCCGCTCGCGGCTGGACGCGCTGGGGCCCCTCCCTGGCGCCGAGGAGCCGCCTCGGGTTGGGCTTCTCGGGTGGAGGCCCAGAGGCCGGAGCAGAGCTGGCCTGAGGGTCGCGGCCGCGAGTGTCCGCGCGACAGGGTCCGGTTTGCCTGAGCCCTGGGCCGTGCTTTTCCAGGGCATCGGCTGGCAGCCAAAGGGGCGGGCTCGCGGCCGGTGACTGCCTTTTCCCAGGGGTCCAAGCCGAAGCCGGTGGGCCGGGGGTCGGGGAGTCTCTCCTTACTTCTGCTGAGCGGAGCGGGGAAGTTGGCTGCTGCCTCATCGTTCTGGTTTTGCCACTGGTCGGTCGTCGGGGAGGGAGCCACTTGCTGCACCTGTTCCTTAGCCTCAGTTTTCCCCCAACAGTTAGCAGGATTCTTCTGGGGCGGGGTGGGGGTGGAGGCGGCCGACAGACTCCGCGCGACCTGCTGGCTCTTTCTTTCCCTGGGCCTCTTGCGGATTCAGTGTCCCCTTCTGTAAAATGGTCTTAAACTCGCCCAACTCGGGATCATACATGGGGTGTTGAAAGCCCAGGGTGGAGAAACTGAGTCCGGAGGTGGATGTTCACCCACCCACCCTGGCTAATCAGTGGAAGGCCTCCGTAGTAGAACCGAGTCTGGGGTTCTCCGCGCAGGAGGAAGCGGGACGAACTGCTTGGGAGAGGGAGGGTCCCTTGGAACCTCTGGCCAACCTCTCCCCAACTTTGTGGGGAGGGGGTTTGGAAAAAAGTGCTTGGGCGCCCCAGCCAGCCCCTAGCGCGTCGCAGTGGCCTTTCATCCTTCTCCTAGCCCTCTGCTACCCCCTTAGCTCCCGACGAAGGGGATGAGACGGGAGCATCACAAGTCGCCGGTTGCATGAGGTGGGTGCCCAGTGGGCTGGGTCACACCCACCGCGGGGCCCCATGGCTCTCCCCAGCAGGTGGCGCTCGCGGTTGCCTTTGTTTAGTTTCTTAATTGGCTAGTGACCCTGATTAGTTAGATCTGTGACTTGGCATTCACAACTTGCAATGCTGACTCCAGGAATCATGTTTTCTTTCTCACCGTTTGACAGGCACACATTTTATCTTTTTAAAATACGTGAGGGGTCCCGGCACTCTGTAAGCACTCACTCACTCACTATTTTTATACCTGGGTCCCAGGGCTGGGGTGTGCATGAGAAGGGGCTGATACCCTTACCCTATTCAGAGTGTGACCACGGAGAAGCACTGGTGGGTGGCCAGTAGAGGGGACCCCTATCGGGTATCCCACCAGACCGCTCAGGTGCTCTTGGCTTCCTTATGTCCCTCTGGCCCAGGAACACCAAGGCTCAGAAGTAGGGAGTGTGCCCAAGGTCACACAGCTAGAAGGAGCTAGAGCTGGAACATAACACACTTTTGTCTGCCCCAGGGCTAGGGCTCTGTCTCCAAGCTACCTGGCCAGCTGGGGAGATCCTCCGAATGGCTGAGAGACCACGGATGCTACACAAATGAAGGTATTTTAGGCAGAGTGAGAGTGAGAGGAAAAATATTGAAGTGTAATATATCTGAGTCTTGCTCTCTTGTCCACCCTGCCTCCAGCTGGCAAAGAGAACAAGGAGCCCTTTTCTGGGGCATCGGCCTAGCTGGGAGCCAAAGGAGCCAGCCCTAGAATCTGGCAAATCAAGTCCCTTTCCTGGCCTCAGTCTCCTCATCTGTTAAATGGGCTGAGTGGCCTTTGGCAGAGTGGCTGTTGAGTGTGGCCTGGAGCAGAGGGCTGGCACAGCGTGGGATAAACTTCCTGTGTCCCCAGGCTGTGCACGCCATCCCCCATCTGTCTTCCCTTCCCTTCTCCCTTCCCTCCGAGGCTAGGCTTTCTAAGCCAAAGGACTCAGAGGTGGCCAGGAGTTGTCTTCCACTCTGGTGCTGCTGACTCAGCCCTTTTCCTGGTGACAGCAGCAGGGGGAGGGTGGGGAGTGTGGCTCCCACCCTCTGCAGCCCTGGCTCAGGGCCCTGGGAATGCTGTCTGAGGCAGGGCCACATAGAGGGCATGGCCAGTGTGGTCTTGGTGTTTTCTCAATGCTGTAGAACCTTAGTCTGCTTTTGGGGGGGACCCCCTGGGGCCCCTAAGTAGGCCAGGGTAGGGGGGAGGACTCTAAGTGGGCTTGAGAGGTGAAAACAGCACAAAGCTGAAAGCTGGGAGAGTCTGACTTTCATTCCAGCTTCGGCTCTGGTCAGCTGTGACCTTGAGCCAAAGACTGGGGTCTATCCTGGGTCACGGAGTCTCTGCTGGTCACATTAAGTAATTGGGTCAGGCCATCTCTCAGGGTCTTTCCAGGCCTGAAGTTCTGCTGTCTGATTATCCCCAAAACTGCTAGAAAAACCGAAGGCTGGACATGAGACGTCAAAGATACACAGGCCACGGGCCGTTCTATCCTCCACACTTGGCCCGTTGAGTGGGGCTAGGCTTTCATGCCCTAAGCCCCAGACTGAATTCCATCCCTCTCAGATCTCGGCATTTCTGTACTGAGGGCAGTAATGTCACCGCCTCCCTCTTCCCACAGGACAGACCAGGAATTAGAGCCTTTGTCCCCCACCCAACCCTACCCATTCCCCCCGCCCAGGCATGTTCCTAGGACTCCAGTGGGCTGGGGACCACTTCCTTTCTGTGGGGTTGTGGCTCCTCTTCACTCCTCCCAGCCATGGGACCCTGGGAAAGCACAAGGCTGGGGTCAGCTGAGTTGAAATAATGGATGGGAACACCTTTCAGGTTCCAAAAACCCCTGCAAAGATGAGGCCCAGCCCAGGCAGTAAGCACTCAACCAGTGTGGAATGAGAGGGGACTGGAGTGGGAGGGACATTGGAGACCGTCTGGGCACCCCAGAGTCCCAGGGATGCATGAAAAACCTCGGCAGCTCAACTGGAAGGAAGCTGGGCAGGACCCCGCCCAGGCCCAGGGGCATACTACACAGGCTGCCCCTCTTGCCAACAGGACCCGTCTCTGGGGGGTCATCTCCACAGAGGGGCTGGCTCCATAAGACGCGAGGGATGGACCGTTCAGGGGAGATTTCCAGGCTGAGGCGGGGTACTTCCATGTCCATCGGAGAGGGGGTGTTGACCTGGCTGTTGCCCTTACCTAGTACCTGAGGGGGTCATACCTGCTCATTGACTTGGACATGTGCTGAGCCTCCCCTGTGCCCGGCACAAGGAGACTAGGGACTGGAGCTCTGCAGATTCCTAGGGACAGAGAGGTCAATGGAATTGGCCCAAGTCCTGAGCTAGTGGGCGCCCGCGCCCTCTCCCCTCAGCACCCTGCCCCTGTGACCCAGAGCAAATAGGCCAAGCCCACCTCTCATCCCGATTCCAGTGCTGCCTCCTCATTCCTGAGCAATCTGGGGGGGCTCCTGCCCCTTCCTTTCCCTCTGTTTTCCAGCCTGCACCTCAAGGGGCTTCAGACCCCTTCCCATTCTGACTCTCTTGGGCTTCTGAATCAAACCAGACCCCACTGGACAACCAAAGAGTTAAGCAAAGGAAAACCCCAGCTCCCTAGGCTCCTTTTATCTCTCACAGATCCCAGAGGCTGGAGAGAATGGAGCAGGGAGGAGGGGAAGTGGGAAGCCAGCTCAGCCCGCTCCCTCCGCCTTCCCTCCGCCTCTCTCCCTCCTTCTCTCCCTCCCTCTTCGGCTCAGCCTGGGGGTCTGGGCCAGCAACAAGCAGACATGGGCCAAGGAGCCAGAGACTGCCCAGAGGCCGGGGGTCTGTGAGCTGCCGTGGAGGCCACTGGACACGGGGTGAGTGATGAATGTTCCTGTAACTTCTTCCAGCAGGGCCCTGGGGGCTGGGGTCAGAGCCCGGAATTCCCTTCCTCCCTCCTCTCTTCCTAGACACGTCCTGGGTTCTGCTCTCTCCCTCTGACCCTCTCAGCCCCTCTAGCCCCTGGTGAAGGGCTGCAGTGTTTCTCCAGCGGGAGCCTGTCCCTGCCGGGACACTCACCAGCTCAGCTCAGCAGGCCCAGCTTCCTCCCCTCCCAGAGAGCTCCCAGCTCCTAAGTAAAGGCAGCAGGAAAACCCCCCATCCCAAATCACCCTAGATGGCACAGTCCCCCACCCTGAATCCCTGCGTGACCCCCCTCCCCCAGGGCCAGTCCCTGATCATGGCTGTGGTTATTATTACTCTTGTTCAAAGACTGCTTTGCTTCCTGCTTCCTGCTCTCCCCAGGGCACAGTTCTGTGTCTCAGAGCTTTTGACTCCAATCTGGCCTCAGATTGGCCAACAGAAACATCCCCAACCATGCCAGTTCTCCAGGCAAAATTCTGCTCTTCCCATCCCGTGTGGGCACTGGGTAGAGGCCTTGTCTGTCACAGGAAGGAACATATGTCAAATCTTATTTGTTTATTACTGAAGTGTAATTGACATTATCTTGCTTCAGGCTTGCAACATTGTCACTCAGCCATCCTGTGCATTACTCAGTGCTTTCCACTGATGAGGGTCGTCACTATACAATGTTATTACAATGTTATTGACTATTCCCTCTGCCTTCCTTTGTATTAAGAGTCCTACAAGTCTTACAAGTCTTACAGGCACTTACCCTGCATTTGGATCCTCCTGAACAACAGGGGAGGTAGGCAGTGGTTTCAACTCCTTGTAAGTGTCAAGGAGCAGCATGGAAGACTAGAGAGGTTAAACTACTAGCCCGAGGTCACACAGCTTGTAAGCTATCTTGGGATCTTAGGTCCAACCCTAAGGCCTCACCCTTTCCCATAAAGTCACATCTATGGCCAGGAAAAAGGGGATTTTTGTTCTTCTCAAAAATCACCGAGATGTGGCATTTACAAACACAGGGTGGGGGTTATAATCTTGAACAGAGAGGATGTTGATCTCTGAGACGTTTATCTGCCTTATAGAGCAGAACCAGGAAAACAGACCAGGGCAGATCTGGGGAATGGTCACTTCTAAGAGAGGGGTGGTATCTCTGGGGACGACCTGCCCGTCACCGCCCTTCTAGCTACTACTCAGCCACCAGCATGGTGGAGTGTGTGTGTGTGTGTGTATAGAGGGGGGACTCCTGCCCTTTAAAACCCATCCTTTACCTCAGTACTCAGTGGAGATAGAATAGCATTTTTTAAAAAAATAATAATTTTAACTTCTCTATATGTATTAACCGCAGAAAAAATATTTTTGAATTGTACCAAATGTTAAAGGAACAAAAAGGAAATAAACAAAGAAACGCCAGAAGTGTAAAAACCAGTCTGGTTTCAAGAGCTGAGTTTCTGATCCTGCGATAATATGCCAGCCCCCAAACACTGCTACCACCTCAAAGGCTCTTTGCCGTGTTTCCTGCCCACCCAGCCCCAGCCTGTCCCCAGTGTCTGCTGTCCTGGCCACTTCCTGCCCCCCTCCTGGAACTCTGGAACATCCCTTGGCCAGGGCCATAGACATCTTCATAAACCCCTGGACTTCTCCCATCGTTTTTGAATTTTCCAGACCTTCTAGTCCTGCTCCTTAATTCCAATTTACCCCCTTGGCAGTGGATTGGTAGGTCTATGATGATTGACACAACTCTCTTCCAATGAATTAACTCCAGAGCCTTGGGGCTTCTGTGTAAGGCTGAGCTGTGAGGGTTGTTGACTGAGCAAAGGTGCTGAGGGGGAGGTGGGTTGACAACAGACCTTGCCAACCTACAAACCCTCAGTGTTACATTTTTCCAAAAAATGACTTCTATTTTTGTTTCCAATTTGTCCGCGCAGAGAGGTACCTGCTTCTGCCTTGTGCACAGGCACCTCTAGGCAGGCCAGCACTGGTCTATGGTCTAAAATTCTGCATACCTACTCCTGAATTCTTAAAGATGCCGTGACAGCATCACTGGGCATAACACTGTGCATTTTCTCTGGATGTTGCTTCCTGACTGCGACAATAAATGAACTTTCCTAGATCTTGGTCAGGACCATGGTGCTCAGGTGCCAGATCCTGGGCTTGGCCACTCATCCCCTCTCCTGAAGAGCGAGCCTGCAGAATCATTTGCCTTGGTCCCAGGGGCGCACTAACATCCCTCATGCTGGGCTGGTAGCCTGTACTTGCTGGAGAAGGCTGGGTCGGTTGTAAGAAAACAAGCCAAAGGGAGGTAGGCAGGGAGGGCTAGGGTGGGGAGCATTTCACGGTCTTACTGGGTGGGACACGTGGGTGGCTGGAGCACCTTCCTCGCCCACCCCAGCAAAGGCATCCCGGGACCTTGTCTGTTTCCCCGGCTATGGCTCTCTTTAGACGGGCTTCCTTCCCAGGCCCACGTGTGCCCAATCCCCATGGACTGGGTTCCAGGGGACCCAGCCTGCAGGCCCTACATGGCCACAGGTCTCTTCATGACCTGGGAGAAATTGCTTCTCTGTGTCAGTCTCTTTCTTCTCATCTATTAAATGGAGACACTAACCCTCTGCCCTTGAGTTACATCAGGTGCTCTGATAATATGGGGGCAGCATCCGTGCTGCGCAGTGCGCAGTGTGGACGGTCCCTTAAATAGAATCTCTGCCCTTCCTTACTTGCTGCAGGTCACCATGGGGATAGCTGCCCTGGACCTCCTCTGTGCAGGGCTCCTGCTCCCTTTCTTGGTGTTTGCGGTCCCCACCGAGGAGCCCTCCTCTGGGGATGCGGTGGCCTCGGGTGCCCCTGGGTACTGTCAACGGTGCTGTGACTCTGAGGACCTCCTGACCCCTGCCGATGAAGCAGTGTCATCGGCCTCTCCATCTGCCCTCCCATACCTGCTGCCTGAGGTCAGGCCCTACATTAACATCACCATCCTGAAGGGTGAGTAGCCTCCTCCCTCCCAGTGGCTCAGGCTAGACTGGCCTGGCTGGGGATGGGGAGGGTGTAGAGCCCTCTCCTTGGGCTGGGGTCCTTGAGGGGGAGGGAACAGGAAAAACCCGGAGAGAAAATTGTCCCAGACCCTTTCTGTCATTCATATATTTATTGAGCAGCTACTATGTGCCAGGACTGTTCTGAGGTCTGAGGATGGAGCATGAGCAAACCAGACAGAAGTGCCAACTGCCATTCTCATGGGAGAGGCAGAACATGAGCAAAAAATATATTGCCCAAGTTAATGAGACAGAGTGTTCGATGGTGATAAAGGGGATGGCGGTGCCAAGGTTGAGGAGGGTAAGGGGCATCAGGAGTGTAGGTGCAGGGAATAGGTTGCAAATTAAATGGGGTGTCGGTTCATTGAGAAGTGAGGGAGAAGCCAGGTGGCTATCTGAGGAAGAGTAGTCCAAGGAGCATGAGCAGCAGGTGCAAAGGTCCTGTGGTAGGAGTGGGCCTGGTGTGTCTAAGGAGCAGAGAGCAAGAGGAGGAGCTGAAGTTGGAGATGAAACAGGGGCAGGGTCAGACTTGGGTTTCCCTGAGTGGGAATGGGGAGCAGGGTAGGGTTCGAGCAGAGAGACCTGGTCCCACTGGGGCTACAAATGGATCTCTCTAATATTTCGTGGAGAATGGCCGGCCGGGACAAGGGTGGGAGCAGGGAGATCTATGGGCAGCCACTAGGGCTATCCAGGTGAGAGTGGGCTCCCTGTCCTCGAAAATCAGGAAGAGGCTTCTGCTGCTGGGGACTGTGAACAGCTGGGGCTGGGGCCAGGCCCTGGACACCCTTCACCTGGGGTTGTGTGGCCAACCACCCCAAGACGTCAGACCTTGGTCATTGCTCCCATTTTGCAGAGGGGGAAACGGAGCCTCCAAGCAGGGAGGAGCTTTCCCAGGAGCACACAGCTATTAAGGCGCAAAGCCGAGATCTGTCCCTGAGGACTCCACTCCACCCTCCAGCCAGGGATCAGCTGGCTTCTGAGAACTCCGGGCCTCGGGTTTCATGGGGGAGGACACCTCCCTTCCTCCAGCACCCGATCTTCCCCAAGGCCCATAGAGCCCCTGCCTGAGGCTGAGGAGCTGTCTGGCCGCTGTCTTCCTAAAAACCCAGGATTAGGAGGACACCCTTGAGCCAGCCTTCACTGTCTGCCGGCGCGGGTGGACACTCGGCTGTGGCAGGAGGCCCCTGGCTGGCGTCAGGAGTCCTGGGGGTCCCTGTCCCAGCTGCTCGCTCCCTCACTGTGCGGGTCAGGCTGGTCTCTCTGTCCCTGGCTTGCCGCCTCCTTTGTAAAAAGGTAAAGGTAACCCCTTCCTAGGACCTCTGTTCACCCCCCTCCCTCAGGTCTGGGGCAGGGAGGTGCAAACCATAAAGTGTGGTGCAGGCAAGGAGGTCCTTCTCCCTTGAGACTGTGGGGTCAAACCGTTGCAGAGCCGGGGACCCCCTTCTCCCTGCTTCTGTCCAGGCTTTTCCCCCAAGGGGCTGTGCCTTCTGTTTCGCTCTTTCCATCGATACTGCCGAGGTCACAGGAGACCTTGGGAAGACACAGGCCTGTGCGGGTCTCTCAAAGGGGAGTGGCTGATGGTAGGAGTTCTGGCGTGTGACAGGTGGCAAGGAAATGCTTGGGATCAGGTACCTCAAGACATAGGGGGTCCCCTGCTCCTTCTGTGCTCAAGGTCAGCCTGGAACCGAGGCTGGGCAGAGGCGTGTGTGCCTAAGGATGAGGCTGGATGTTGCCAGAGCCCCGGGCAGTCAGGGACAGGCCGAGCGTTGCTGGGTGGACCCTCCTGCCTCATATTGGAAGTCTATAGGGCGCTCCCCCATAGGACATTTTGTCAAGGGCCCAACATCAGCCCTGTGAGGTGGACAGATTCCTCTTCAAGACAGAGACAAAATAACTGAGACCGTGACCGTGAAATGCCCCAGTGGGACATAACACCAACCAAGGGCTGCCTGGTTCCGAACCAGGGCCTTTCCCTTCATGTAGGCAGAGGCTTTTTTCTTGGCTCCTTCTCTGGGTCAGAAATGCAAAGTGCAACTCAGCTGCAAAGAGAATGAGCTCTTGCCATTTGCAACAGCATGGATGGAACAGCGGATACGCAGCTGAGCGAAATAAGTCAGTGGGAGCAAGACGGATGCCGTACAATTTCCCTCATATGCAGAATTTAAGGAACAAAACAGATGAACATAGGGGAAGGGAAGGAAAAAAAAATAAAATAAGAGGAAAACAGAGAGGAAGACACACCATAAGAGACTCTTCGCTCTAGGGAACAAACTGAGGGTGGCTGGAGGGGGGAGGTGGGGGAACGGAGTTGCTGGGGGATGGGCATCAGGAGGGCTTGGGATGTCATGAGCCCTGGGTGTTCTGTGCAACTGATGAATCACTAAATTCTACCTCTGAAATGAATAATACACTATATGTTACTTAAAATCAATTTAAATTTAAAAAAAGAAAGAAAGAAAAAGAAATGCCAAGTGGGTCCTGCACCAGCTACCTCTCCGCTGGAGTCAGGCTGGGTGTAGTGACCCTGGGGGTTTGGGCCTGGCTTCCCAGGGAACGACGTGATCACACCTTCACTGCACGGGGCGGGGAACGGGCGGTGGAAGACGGAGAGCGTCTTGGGTCTTGCCCCTCCCGCTTCTCCTGAGCTGTATGACCTTAGGTGAGTCACTGAACCTCACTGAGTAGAGATGGTCACGGTGTCTTCTTTAGAGGGGTGTTCAGCGGAGCGATGCCCAGTATGCAGTAGGTGTTTAGTACGTGCTGGCTATTCTCTGGCTTTCCTTCTCGAGGCAGAGGTGGAGCCCTCCGCAAGCAGAGGCAAGGGTGCCCGCCCTGACTTCCCCCTTCTTGTCCCCACAGGTGACAAAGGGGACCGAGGCCTGCTGGGCACGCCCGGGAAGCTGGGCCGGGAGGGTCCCCGGGGGGAGCGCGGCCCGCAGGGCAACAAGGGCGCCAAGGGGCAGGCGGGCAGCCCCGGGAGCCCGTGCCAGGCGCGCTTCTCGGCCTTCTCGGTGGGCCGCAAGACGGCCCTGCACAGCAGCGAGGGCTTCCAGCCGCTGCTTTTTGACACCGTCTTCGTCAACCCCGACGGCCACTTCGACCTGGCCACCGGCCATTTCATCGCCCCGCTGCGTGGCCTCTACTTCTTCAGCCTCAACGTCCACAGCTGGAACTTCAAGGAGACGTACGTGCACGTGGTGCACAACGAGGAGGCGGCCGTCATCCTCTACGCGCAGCCCAGTGACCGCAGCATCATGCAGAGCCAAAGCGTGATGCTGGCGCTGGCGCCCGGGGACCGAGTCTGGGTGCGTCTCTTCAAGCGCGAGCGGGAGAACGCCGTCTACAGCGACGACGTGGACACCTACATCACCTTCAGCGGCCACCTCATCAAGCCTGAGGATGATTAGTGGCCCCCGGTGGGGCAGCCCCGGCCCCGGGGTGGGGGGAACTGTGGGCAAGGTGGTCCTCCAACAGGGCCTCGGTGTGCCCCTCCATAAAGTGGGCCCCTGGGACCTGGCATTCTGGGTGGGCTTCCTCTTCTTTCCTTCCCTCCATCATATCTCTCTCTCTTCTCTTGGACATATTTTAAGAAGCACGCTAACCTGAATATTCTAGAACTTTCCCAGCCTGCGAACACGGCACATTCTGATTCTGGTTCTGAAGTGGGCGGCGTCCAGGGTTCTGCACGTCTAATAAGTTCCTGGATGTAGTTGGTGCTGCTGGTCCAGGGACCCGCCTTGAGTCCCCAGATTCTAGACCTTTCCCAACATTCTGGAATCCTCCGAACATTCTAGACTCTTGCCAAATCCTTCACTTCTCTCATCTCTCCAGGACCCCCACCCCTATCCTCTTACTCCTTCCACCTTCTCTGTCCCTCTCTTGTGCACCCCACTCGTGCAGCCGCCATTTCCTTATTCATTCATCAAACGCTCGCTGAGCACTCACTCTGTGTCAGGCTCTGGGGAAGCTGAGGTGAGACACAGGCCCTGGCCTTGGTGAGTGCCCAGCCCAGCCAGGGTGGGGAGATACAGGCTCAGGAAACCAGACCCAGAAAAATGTGCAGGGCTGTCATCACAGAAGTCTGTGTCTAGGCGTTCAGCCACCGTGGACCGTCCTTGTCTGCAGGTCCCCAAGGTGGATAGAGTCCCCAAGGTAGGGGGGATCCTTATCCTTGTCCATTTCTTTCCTTCCTGCCCAATGCCCTTCATTAAAGCAAACCCCAGAAGGGCCTTGGTCAGGGCAAGGGTGCTATGAGGGGAGGGTCCAGGAGTCTGCGGCATTTGGGGGTGAATAGGGCCCTTGGGAAAGGGAGCCCAGACCCCCATCTCCCCACATGTCAGGTATGGCAGCCCGCGAGGACTCTTCCCCTCCTCACACATCCCCTTCCCCATCCCCAAGGCGCCTGGGCCTCGGTTCTCCCAGGCTCCCAGCCACCGTCAGACACTGACGTTGTCCCCAGGTGCTCTCTGACCCTCCTTGGCCCTCCTTGCCGGCCCAACGTCCCTGGCTTTCCAGGCCTAGTTAAGGTGCTGAGGCCCCAGTGGGCAGCTTGTGCCTGGCATGGAGCCTCCTGTGGCCAGATGCCACCTTGACACATGCCACTGGACCATGGGCCGGGCTTTGGAGCCCTCAGCAGGTCTAGGGAACTGAAGCGGGCAACATCCCAGGTCAGTCGGGGGGAACGTCGTCCTCTGAGCCATGAGACCAAGACAGGCACTGGGAGTGACCAAGGCCAAGGAAGGGACATCAGGCCTTCTGTCCTTTCTCCCTCTCCCGGGGTGGGGCAGTCTGGCAGTCTCCGGCCTTCTTGTCTCCCATCCCAGGTAGCCTGAACCTCTCTCCAGAGGGAAATGGCTGCTTCCCGTTGGTGCTGATACCGACCGCGGGGCAGAGGCGCCCCGAGCAGTGGTCTCTGGTGCTCACTTGTAGCCGACGGATTCACGGCTCAGTGATGGGGGGCTGGCAGCAGGACCTGACCCCGTGCCGTGAACGCTGGTGCTATACCCCCACTCCTCACCTGACTTCGTCCCTGTCCTGCTTGTCTGGAGTGATTAAAGTGTGTCTGTCTTTTTGGCAGTTCGGGCTGGTTCTTTCGGCTCGGCTCCCTGTGCCCCTCCTCGGGAGGGCGGCCAGTCCCGGTTCTGCTGGGGGCCCCACCGCAGGGCTCCCCTCCAAGGGCTCCCCATCCCATGCGGCCCCTCGGTCATTCATCAGCTGGTAGACCTTGGAGTGAGTGGAGCCAGGCTCGGAGCCGGCTGGGCCGTACCTTGTCTGTGGCCTCAGGCCAGGCTCCACACACCTGAGGCTCCGTTTCCTTGTCTGTAAAATGGGGACACAGAGAATCTACCCCAGGGGGTGGCCAGGAGGATGAGAAGAGCGATGTTTGAGCCACACCCACTGACTGCCTGCTGTGTGCTGGGTACCCCACTAGGCGTGGAGGTGCAGGGCGAGCCCAAGCCATCCTCTTGCCTTCGAGAACGCTGTGGAGCCTACATTCCAGTGAATCACTTGCAAGTGCCGAGCCCCTCAGGCCCTACTTGGGGATTCTGTCTCATGGTTTGTGTTTAATATTTACGAGAGAACAGTTGGCTGTTCTCTGGAGGAAAACACAGCTTCATCCGACAGCGGACTGGGTTCTGACTTTCCAAGCTAGCGCAGTGACTGCTCACGTAGACCTATTTATGTTTGCAGTGACCCCTGTGGGCTTGCCCGACACACTCAAGGCACCTTTGTGTGTCCCTATGGCTGTGCTTGGTGGCGTTCTGGGCACCATGTGCAAGATGCAGCTATTCGGAATGAAGCTACTAGAACTGCCCTGGGACTCGGCCCAGCCCAGGCAAGGGAGCCATGAGTCTCTGTTTCTCTGAAACCTACATGGCCATGGCAAGAGGCTTCCCACTACACCTGAGTGCTCCCCATGGGTCAGAGGCTACGCAGGGGAGCGACCCCAAGGCGTAGTTTTGGCCCAGGCTCTGTTCACGCGTCATCCGTCTGCCCCCAGTGCCAGAGCCTCATCATGGATGCTGTGAGGACAAGTGGTTTTGCCAATCCGCTAAGGCAGCCAAGTTTTTTTGTTTGTTTGTTTTGTTTTGTTTTTTGGCAGCAAAGCTTTGGAAACTTCTCACCAAGCCCCTTCAGGAGAATTGGTTTGTCCTTTGCAAGCTGAGGCCAAAGGTCGCAGGCATTTCCAGGCCTCATTAGCTCAGGGCTCTCAGAACCAGCTCCTCCATGGTCTCGGCTGATATGCAGCAGAAGCTTCCATCCTGGTTCCAAGCGGCTTCCGACGTCCGCCTGCGCTGGTTTTTCCCACAGGAGCCTGGTTTCCGGCTTGGGCCCGGTTTCCACTCCAAGGAGTAGCAGGAGCCTCTGGATCTTTGTGATGGGAACCCTTCCAGAAGGCGACGTCTCAGTGGGGGCCGGGCAAGGGCCCTGGAACTCTGGAGGCCCCCAAGCCTGTGGCCACGTCTGTGGGGACCAGGTCCCCCAGGAGATCTACAATGCTTAGTCCTGGGGACCCAGGGAGCCCATATGGCTATCTTCTCCACCCCTGCCATCCCCTTCAGTTACATATTTTGAAAATAGTATGTCCCTCTGAAGTGTTAGCGAACAAGGAAGGGGAGAGAGAGATGGGCCACGAGGAGAAGCAGCCCACGAAATGGAAAACAGCCTAGACTGGGAGTCAGGGGACTTCAGCTCTGCTCTGCCATCGCTTGGTCGGGGGTGGGAGGGAGACAATGCAGGGAATATTAAGGGGGAAGTTCGATTAGACAGAGCTGGTGCAGGCAGCTGAACCGGGATGTGTTCCTGGGGACTTAGTACCTGGTTGGGTGGGCTGGATCCTTCTATGGGCTTGGGTTGGGTGTATCTGGGAGTCCTCAGCCTTCCTAGGAAAAGGATACACCCAGGAGGTCCTTCCTGGGGCATGGGGAAGAGAGTAAAGAATTCTAGAGAGGATGATCTAGGAAAGTGTCAGAGGGAAGGGGACATTTGAGCAGGGTCTTGGAGATGAATAGGAGTTTTAAAGACATACGATGTGGGGAAAACAGACAGCAGCATGACAGGGTGGAGGTGGGACAGTGTGGCCTACGTTCTGGGCAACGGGAGAGGCCCATAAGCGATGTAAATGTTTGGAAAGGTGTTAGAGACAGACAAGGATGGGTTCTGAGGCCGGAAAGTTAGGGAGGGACCACGTCGTTAAAGGCCTAGAACATCTGGCTAAGTTGGGACTTGATCTTGTAGGTGATGGAGAGTTGCTGGAGGGTTTTGAGCAGCGTGGTCACTGGTTAGAGCTAACTTAAGAGGCAGACTGCTGTGGGGGCCCCGTGGAGCATGGACTCTATGGAGTGGGACTGGAGGCAGCTGGTCCAGGAGAGGACATGGGGTGGACTGACGATGTCATCCTGCAGGAGAGGGCCACGTTCCCACTCGACTCCAAAGGAAGTAAGAAGTTTAATAGCAGAGGGACAAGAGGAGGGCAGCCAGGTTGGGGTGGGGGGTCCAGCTTGGGCAAAAGGTCTACCAGTCTCTGCTGTTCCTATCAGACTTTTCTATACCAATGAGAAGAGAGCAGGCCTAGGCATCAGGAGGCGGGCTCCTGGGCCAGCTCTGCCCTGGGGAGTCCCCTGAGTGGCTGGGCAACTCATTTGGCTTCTTTGGACCCTCATTATCCTTTTCTGTCCCATTGGATTCGAAGTCCCTCCTCTCTTGCCCTGCTGAGGCCTGGGGGGGCGTCTCCGAGGCTTTATGGGGTGACAATTTTCAGAACCCTCGATCAGGACCCCTGGACTAACAATGGGGGAGACTGCGAAAACAGTGCCGATTGTCCCAGAAAATATTTAAGTGCCAAGTGACAGGGGCCAGAGGAGTTTCAGAGAAGTGGTAAGTACTCAAATGTCAGAGTATGTGGGCTCTGGAGCTGGTGGGGCGAGGGTTCTGATTGCCAGGTCCGAATCTTCTTAGAAGAATCCTTGGCTCAGAGCAGGCCCTGTTATTTATCCTCTATCCATGTGAGCTGGGCTTGTCTCCTCGTCCCTCTGAGTCTCCGTTTTGTACATCAGCAGCGGCTGGCACAGAGAGGGTGCTCTGCAGCTCCCTCTGCAGCGTCCTCCTCCCCCAGCCAGCTCCAATGCCCGGCCTGGACCCAGGAGCCACATACTGCCACGTGTACCTCTGGAGGAGGGGAAAACAGGCAGAAACTCAACACAACCAGAAACAGATGTCAAGAACATTATGGGTGGGGCCCCGTGGGGGGAGAGCCAGGGCCAGCTGCGGCCAGCGGCTGCTGCAGGAGCCAGAGAGGAAGGAGGGATTTCCAGGACAGGAGTCAAGAGTGCAAGGCTAAGCCCTAAGCCCCGTGCCTGGGAGCAGCTGGGCTGCAAACCAGGAGGGAGGGAGTAGGAGGGGGCATGGGCGGTGGATTGGGAGGAGCAGGGTGTGCAGAACAGGGTCAGGCTGCGGTGTGAAGTCTTGGCCTGAAGGTGGTAGTGTGGGCGGGAGGAAGTAGTAACTGAGGTCTGGGCACAGGGAGGAAGCAGGGGACCCAGTGCAGGATGGGAGCAGAGTGAGAGTGAGGGTGAGGGCGTGGGTGGCCGTCCTTGTCCTGCAGCTGGCTGACTGCGAGGCTGACTTGCTGTGCACCATGGGGGACAGGCAGGGAGAGGAATGAATGGATGCCCCAAGCTCAGATGTACAAAAACTGGAACTTGCTTTCTTCCCCACTAAACTTAATTTCTTCTCTTTTTTTAAGATTTTATTTACTCATTTGACACGGAGGGAGACAGAGACGGATCACAAGTAGGCAGAGTGCAGGCAGAAGGAGATGCAGGCTCCCCGCTGAGCCGAGAGCCTGACGCTGGGCCTGATCCTGGGGTCCCTGGGATCATGACCCGAGCCCAAGGCAGATGCTTAACCGACTGAACCTCCCAGGCGCCCCTAAACTTAATTTCTACGAGGCACTTCCATTCTGCTGAAGGCAAAGAAATGTGCTTTCGGCCAGCTGGAGCTCCTCTCTGACCTCATGTCCAAGGGGAGCTGCTCCTAAGTGCTCCATCCTGTGGGCGGTGAGAGGTCAGCTGTCCCCACACGTCCACATGACCCCTGCTTAGTCTGTCACCGTGCCATCTGCTCTGGGTTCTGCTCAGGTGTCTGCACATCTGCTGACTCACGCTTGCTCCCGCAGCGTCCTGGGTCCTCACCCCTCTCCGGAGAGCCAGGTCTGCTCCTCACAAATTCTATGTCCCTCAGAGTGCTGTCCGAGCCCGGACCCTTCTGCGCGAATACACCATGGGGCCGCTTCTTCCCTGGGTTCTCAGCCGCCTCCCCAGTGTCTGGCCCGGGAGAGAGGGGTGGTCCCTCGGTGTCTCAAACCTGCTGGGGGTCTTCTGTGCGCAGCTCCCAGGCTCAGCTGGGGAGGAGGGGCCAGGATGCACTTCAGCCAAGAACCCCAAGACTGAGGCAGCCCTTGCTTCCCCGCTGCCGCCTCCCCGCAGAGCTGTGCTGGGTCCTGGGAGATGGGGGGGGGTACCATGTGTCTGGTCAGTGCATC